ATAAATGTATTTATTTGCAAATCACTACGTAGTATAAAATAAAGTCGATTTCTCTCTCCCTATATCCCTATGTAAGCTTAAATATTTTAAACTTCGCAACGGATTTTGATTCGGTTTCTATAATAGTTTTTTTTTTGTCAGGGGAAAATCATCAAATGACTTCTCCCGCACAGGGCCGAGCGAGAGGGAGTGTCAAACTCTTACTGACTAAAACCCCCATGTTCCTTCTCCTGCTCTGGGCCGAGGTCGCGGTGCCTCATTGCGCTTACCCCGCAACCATGGCTAAACATCAGCCTAGTACTGACAGTGGTCTGTTGGCTCTTTGAGGCGCGCGCGGAACGCTCGTGCGCCGTACGCTCGGGCCTGGTTCTGGTCGGGCGGCGAGCTGCCCTTACTCGCCGTCCGCAGACCCGCGCTTACGGTGGTCGGAGATCGTCCCTTTCTTTAATAGGTAGAGTGATTGAAGAAGAAGGTTTATCTGTATTGCACCCGTGCGAAGCCGGGACGGGTCGCTAGTATAGTATCTATAAAAGTAACCTAACAAATAATTTAATTTCACAGCACTTTACTCCCATCAACACATTTATTTAAAAGCTTTTCATCTGTATAACTGAAACAAATGCTTTGTTAACAATTGGAGAATGTAAATACAATTATCCACGAATGTACTGGTTTTAGTTGAACTTTAATACAAAACAGGAGCAGTTGTATTCACTCGTGACCTACTTCCACAAACAAGAGTTAAATTAAAAGAATTCATTCGATATTTTGCAAAAAGTTGTAAATATTTGAATAGTTGTTAGATTGAGCTCGGCATATCACATATCCCAAAAATCTCAAATCGCAAATCGCAAATCGCAAATCGTAAATCTCAAATCCCAATTCTAATCTCAAATCTCAAATTACAAATCTCAAACTTAAATCTCTATTCTCAAATCTTAAATCGCAAATCCCAAATCTCAAACCTCAACTATCAAATCCCAAATCCCAAATCTCGAATCGCACAGTTCTGATCCCAAATTACGAACCCCAAATCCCAAATCCAAAATACCAAATCACAACTCACAAATCCCATATCCCAAAACTTTAATCCAAATCTCATATCCGAAATCTCAAACTCAAAATCCCAACTTTAAATTCTAACAAAAAACTCACACACATTCACCTAATACCTTATCACAAGATGATACTTTTTCGTTTACCGTCCTAAAAAACATATAAAACAACATAATTATTATTGTTTAGCCTTCTACATAATAATACATATCTAATTATGAGATAGTGTATACTATTATGTGCACACCTGCATACCTTTGAGCAGTAGCAGTTCCTGAGCGGAAACAACGCTATCATTGTTTAAGAATATTCTGGTTTCAGTAGTTCATTAAACGAAGTAATCACTTGTCACTAACTTCCCATTTTGCAACGGATTGAGGACATGTAGGTATTACGTCTGGTTGCATATTGTTGCATTGCGTGTATTCAAATCTGGTGGTTCTGTATTTTCGTACATTGGTTAGAAACAGCACAGATGTTAAGTGTGGGAGAGCCATGCTTTGACATGAACATAGTGACACAACGGTCTAAACAATTACAATAGGTACTTACGTTGTGTTTCGCCGCGTGAGAGTAGGATGGTATTAAAATCCCTTACCTTTAAAAGACCGACAACACACTTGTTTCTCCTCAGGTGTTGTGGGTGTCTACGAGTGGCACTGATCACCGGGAGATACGTCTACTCGTTTGAAACCCTTTTTTTGTCAGGGTAAAATCATCAAATGACTTCTCCCGCCCAGGATAAGGCGAGAGAGAGTGTCAGACTCTTACTGACTAAAAACGCCCCGTTCCATCTCCTGCTCTGGGCCGAAGTCGCGGTGACTCATTGCGCTTACCCCGGCACTCGTTTGAAACCCTAACGCATTTAAAATATATTGCTCTACTGGTTATTAATGGTACAATAAGACAAATAAGAGTTAAAGAGGAGTGGGAACTCATAATTGTAACTGTTAGAGACACGCTTCGGCACTAATGGGCCGGTGTAACAGAGCGATGATCACCAGATTACTGGTGTGAAGCATCGCTTACGTTGCGTTTCGCCGTATTAGTATGGTCACCGGAGATCCGATCCTTCCCCATCTTCAATCCTTAAATCCCTAATCCTAAGCCGGCAACGCACTTGTAGTTACTCCCTTGGGACTGTGAGTATCCATGGGCGGAGCTGATTACTTGTCACCAGGTAAGTCGTCTGCCAGTTTGGCAATCAATGCCATAAAAATATGTTAGGGTCTCAACCAGCATTAAAACAAAACAAAGATAAAAAAGGTTACTTGTGAAAATTCAAATATTACAACGCTTAAAATAATTTATTTATTGGCTTAAACTTTGAGCTGAAACCTACACCAGTAATCCCTTACAAAACCTAGACAAACAAGCCCTATAACTTTTGTTAAAACAGACAATTTAGCGATCCTTATACTAACGTAAATTTCAAACAGATTTTAGAAAAAAATAGGTAGACTTTTATTACGTTGTGATGAAGGTTTTACCACATTGTGTTCTATTAACAATGGTGTAAGGTCCAAAGCTCCATTGTGAGGCTTCCAGCCAATCATAAACCAGTTCTTAGCGTTCACTTCTGAAAGGAAACTAGAATGTCTATTGTATGTCCTACTGTGAACATTTAATAGCATTTTATCCAGCCTTGTATTGCACAATGTATTGTTGAATCTCTACTATTGAGTCAGGATATAGCCTGCCGTTTGCTTCAGCGTTTTATCAATTGAAATATGATTTTTCAGCATAAGAGCCATAGTGGTAATACAAATCAAGGCGCTCGCTTTTCTTGCATTAAGGTACAGTTTCAAAACCTTACAAGAACGAATGTGAGTTTTACTAAGTTATATGTTCATTAAAGTTTATGTCAATAACATTTTTAAGTGTGCGAGAACCACGCTTTGATATGAATGGGTCGGCTCAACCGGAATGATACCATGTGAATACCGGCGTGAAACCTTTGATTTTTGCCACGTGAGTTAGATTACCGAGGACCCAAAGTTGTTTGCCCTCTTTGCCTTATCCTTGTTTGCCTTCCTCAATCCCTCCCCAATCTCTAATCTCAAAAACCCTAATCCCCAAAAGGTCGGTAACGTATTCGTGAACAAAAAAAAATCTGTCAGCAATTATAAGTTTAGAATCGAAAACTCGCCTTGAGCAAGCCTGGCGATTAATGCTCGTACCTTTTATGTGTGAGAGGAGGTCTTTTATGATGTCATAATCCATGATGAAAGAATGATAAAATTATATTAAGGTGATTCAAATATTAGTTTTTTATGCGAATGCATTTTTAAATTAATAGCACAAACCACAAAGTTGAAAGTCATTTAAAATTGTTACTCAATATTTTAGTATTACTTATAAAAGAAGTTAGTTATTAAAAAAGCAATTTTCAAATGAAAATTCAAATTAGTTCCCATCGTAGAGACGAGGACTGGACGATTGATTTTTATTCGCCATTTGCATCAAAGGTGTACCTATTGCATTCACATTTTTTTAAAACATTTTCGTTATTAATTGCTTGCATATTCACAAATATAGATTTTTTTTTTTGATGTTTTACAGACGTAATAAGACTTTTCTAAATGACCTGTTTCTATACATTGTCGTTTACTGCCTATTAGCAACAAAATAAATCATCTTTGAAGGAAAACACACTCTCTTTTTATTGAGTTTCTTGCTCGTTTTTCTCCATTTGAATTTTTACTTTTGGAATGAGCATCTAGCTTCACTGACGACCTGACTGACAGACTATAATAATATTATGTTTTGACGTTTTAAAACTACCGGTTTATGCTTCAGTTAGAATAAATGATTTTCACTTTGATTTACTAATTAAAACGAGCTTAGAATTTCGTGAAAATAATATTAACACGAATGCCTTCTACCGTTTCTATTTACCAAAGTAACCAAGTCAAAACCTAACATTTTAACAATAAATTTCATCCCTTAAACCCTATTCTAAAAGGTTTGCTCCTAAAGTTAACAGCCCGTACATAATTCAACTTTGTTAACACAAAAAGGCTTCTATAAAGTTACCTTCAAAAATCATGTTTTACAAAGTGTTTGGAAAAACAAACACTATAACGATCTAACATAAAAGAGTAATCACCAAAAAAGGAGATCACAAACTTTTTGAACAATTTTAAAAAGTAATTTTTATGTTGATGTTGCATTTTAGGCCTTATTGCTTGTGAAAATAAGGTTAGTTGGTCCTGGCCGCTTCGAATAAATAGATATTTTGTTTCGTTACTGAAACGCTACGCCGTGCCTACGCGTGCTACGCGGCCGTAGCACATCGCTACGGGCTAAAAATACGTTTAATTCATACGTGGTTTGGGCACGTAGGCTATTCATGTTTGGGAGAAATTTTCCTTTCATTATTCACTGAAAACGAAATAGCTTTGGTTTTGTCTATACATTATGTATTTGTGTATATATATATATTTAACATTTTTGTTTTATTATTCGTAGCTGCCTACGCTGTTCAAGTTATATCGAGTGTTTAAGTATTAAGTATAGGAATGAATTATTTATTTGTCAATGTCTGAACAAATTACTCGAATACATTTTGAGACAGTGCGTGTTAAGACCAGAGTAGGTGTTCAATGAAAATAGACAATACTGTTATTTATATTCATGTTTGAAACAAAAAGCTGTTTATAACGATTTATTTATATGAAGTGGGTATAAATAGCAATTTTGTCTTCTATTCAGGGAAGAAATAAATTGAATAACTTTCCAAATATAAAGAGCTGTTGTCATGATACTAATGTTAGATAATACAGATAATTGTATCATTTAGGCATTGATTTCACCGACAAATAAATAATAGTCAAACTTTTTTAAACAAGAAAACTCGCTCTGTCGAATCTGTTAGTTTATTGACCCAACCAACAAATCTTAGAAATGTTTTAAATTGAATTTAGTTTTTTTTATTTTTGCAGGTTCTTCGCAGTTATTTATCCATTGCGGCTGCCGGTGGCGCGTCGGCGCAGTAAACAGATGCTGCTATGCGCGTGGGCATTCGCACTCGCGTGTAGTTTACCACAGGTAAAATAGATGATAATATACACTCATCTGTAGAACAGATTAATTTGACAAGCGTAGTTGTTAAAAAATCTTTTTAAAAAATTTATTTAAATAACGAAATCAACACCTAACATTTTAACAATGAATTTCATCACTAAAACCCTATTTTAAAAAGTTAGCTTGATTATTCACCGGACCAAACCTCTGGTGGTGGACTGGACTGGACCAATTGCTTACAATCTGATAAATATTTGTTGAACTCCTGAATCCTTCGAGGAATAAAACTTGTGATGATATATATGTAGATTCAACAAAATATATAACTAACTTCCGCCCGCGGCTTCGCCCGCGTGGTATGTCGATAAAAAACAGCCTATGTGTTAATCCAGGTACCCATAGTATACATACTAGATTTCAACCAAATCAATCCAGTCAGTTTAGCGTAAAATAATAACACAAACAAATCCATACACTCTCACAAACTCACATTTATAATATTTGTATGATATCCAGGCCCTTTCTCATTTTACATAACCACACTTCTAAGGCTTTCTTCCTCACAATTGTAGAGGAGCTCATAACAATATGAAATATTGTTTGGAGATTCACCCGACACGTACATTTAATCGACCCGGGAAAACGCTTAGGAAGGAAAAGTTTTTCGTATATAAGTATGCACGTGTATAAAAGTTATTTGTTCACATACCTATTGTTTGGTAACAAATGGTGTTTTTTCCACGATGGAGAAGGCAAGGTCACGTGTCAACAGTAAGACACCGTTTCGTCTGTTATCATAATTACAAAAAACATTTATTTCCCACACAAATTCAAAGACAAAGACAAATTTCAGGCTCTTTATCATCATCCTAATCAATCAGCCACAATTCATCCAATTTTTATACGGATAAACTGTTAGTAAGCCGCCCATGGACACCTGCAATACTAGAGGAATTGGGATTGGAGTTTTTCAGATATTTTAGGGAGCTTGGACCTCTGGTACCCTCACTCATAACGCTATGATTGTTTCACATTTTCTGTGAGTCCGAGGTATCCCTCGAAATGAGACGTCCCATTTATGCTGAAGCTTGGCTCTGACTCTTAAACTGCTGAGTATCAGCCTCCCTAAATGACTTTCAGTTTAACCGGTTGGTAGAAACCGTTTTCTGCGACCCTTATTGTGCTAATTGTCGATATGACTTCTATTTAGGAGCTTTTCTGCCCCAATCGCCATTGATTCTATAAGCTATGGACGTGCCCTGTTCACTGCCACATTAACTAAATTTCCAAATTCGATGGGAATTGTCAGCAACTTTTGTTCGTTTGCTAATCTCCTCATTTCTGTTTCGATCTTGCATAAAAAAAACTGTCCATAGCTGAGTGACCTTGAGTTTCACAATAAGAGTCATTGTTAGAAACTATGTTTCAGTTTTATGGTTGTACATCGGCTCGCTGGTACCACAGACTTATTATGAGATTTGTATTTAGTGATCATAAACTTTTGTCTTCAGGCACTGAGGTATGTTAAGGGTAAAGATGTTGCCTAGTTTCCCGAACACTGGTCATTCGAAACGAATTCGACGATAGACCTCGTTCTTGAAATTGGACCTCTAACTGGATTACTTGTTCCAGGTATATATTTCAAAAGTCGATCTCCCAACTGACGTAGTTTAGCACGCTATACGTTCTGTTATGGGAGTCCTATTAGGATACTTTTTAAAAAAGGTTTTTAACACAAATTAATGGGTTTATTAAGTAAAAGGACAATAGTAACAAATAATAATTAAAGACTATAGTAATTACGGACAATAGACGACCGTTCCGTAAGGAGATGTTTCTCAGACTGCTAGGAAACTGGCAGGCAATCTTTACATTGGATGTTTTTACTGACGTTGCATTAAATTATCATAATGATGACGTTGCATTTAGTTATTGTAGTGATGACGTAACACGGTCTCAGCATAAACCCTTACATATCGGGGATGTAACAGTTCATCTTAAATGCCTTTCGTCTTATCCATGATAATTTGGAGCATAATCTGAGCGAATTTTTATATCTATGCTTACCAACTCACCGTCTTGCCGCCCGCATTAACGTAAGCGTGGCGAGTACCGCCTCCCTTACGTTTCTTTTTATTGCAGCGGCTTCAGAAACTTCAGACGGAAAGTGGATTTTTAGCAATAGGGTTCATTATCACCCTTTGTATTAAAACGAAACCTTTAAATGTAGGAGAGCCATACTTCGGTGCGAAAAGCCACTTCGCCCATATTTGTACTCACAGAATACTTGCGTGAAACAAAACTTACGTCGTGTTGTGCCTTATGAGTGAGATAACTGGGGCCCAATCCTTCCACATTTCCTAAATCTCCAAAACCAAAACCCCAGCAACGCACTCATAACTTCTCTGGTGTTGCAGGTATTGCTTACCTTACCAAGTAATTCGAATGCTCGTTTACCAAATGACTCCAAAAATAAAACTTAAAAAGAGAAATAATGTTATTATTTATTTCAATTCAACCCACCTTCTTATTTGTAAAGGAAACATTTTCCTCTCGTGTAATTTAGCCGAGAGATTTATTTGTTCATATATCGTGTGTGGTAATCTTTTTGGCCAGAGAAGGGTTAATGGCGTTTATATGCGGGTAGTAGCTTGTATAATAATAATATTACCTGGTCCTTTAGCAGTCCTTGTGGTGTGTGTAAACAACTAAACAGTGGCATGCTACTGAGTAAATATTTTTTTCAACACTCATCCTCATAAAGTGGCTATAATTCCACGACAATTATGCAAGTAATGACACCTATAATTAAACTGTGACTTTTTTATTACTATTCACGAGTAAGTAATAGAGATGTTTTTAAATTATTCGTTTAGTTACGCTTAAACTTGCGCTAAAATGCTATCAGCAAAATGCCCAAAAAAAAGAAACATCATTCTTTTGTCTATGGCTGATGCGCGCGCTAATTTTTCCCGCCATTACGAAACATTTTTAAACTCGTTTCGGTTTCTCTTTCGAAGTTTTCTATTTAAGTATGTATTATTTTATTCAGAAGTGTGTTGAAAAGCGTAAGATGCATGTGTGTATTGATGATTACCGTCCTCGGCTCCTTAGGACCTTACCGTCCGACCTTTTAACTTTACTTTTAGTGGCTATCACAAACTTTACTCTCTTGTAGCATAATGCTTCATTATTTTAAGAACAAGCAATATTTTATCTTCATCTTTTTTCTTATGAGACGAGTCACCCATGGACATCTGTACCACCAAAGGAGTTGCAAGAAAGTTGTAGTTTTTATTGGTTGACAGGTTAGGTATAGATTAATGCTAATGCCCAATCCCCTAACATTTGGATTTGGACATTCTGAAGCTATTTGAAAAAAGAACTCGATGTTAATCCTTGCACTTTAACCAAATGACCCAACAAAACCAAGATTTTTAATTTGGATTTTGTTAGGTAGTTTCAACATCTACTACGGGTCGGTCCAGGAATTCTCATTGCGCTTAACCCGCAACTCTCGACCTAAACCTTTTTTAATTTGCGATCTTTGACTCACATTCTTCACGGAGATTATGACAAATGCTCTTAAATAATTATTTTATTTTGTGTTTTTGGGGCACCAAATAAATTTTTTATATATCTATATATGTATTTATCATTCTCTTAAAAGCTAAATTCTACTGACGTTTCCAAACACTTACTGTTGTACGCAAAAACATGTAATGATTAACCAAACTTTTCCTTGGTAACGATTGTGCTTAGAAAGCAACTAAGGACAAATTTTGTGAGGGGGTAAAATCAAATGACTTCTCCTATCCTTTGAGAGACGAGAGAAATTTCAGACTCTGACTAAAAAGCCTATTCATCTCCTGGCGGTACATATCTTCGCTTGACCCAGGCTGAATATCAGCCCCATTGGACCCGTCCCGTTTGTGATAGTATGGTAGGTCACTCAAATTCGGAAGATAAACTAAATAACCACCTCCATAAATAATAAGTATAATAAACTCTCACTCACTCTCGAAATATTAAAAAAAATATATCATGGCTCTTACGTCAAGCTATTTAATTTAATACTCATTTCTATTGAACCATATACAAAAAGAAACGCTAATATGGTTACTGAGAATATAATAACAAAAGACTCTAAATTCGTCCCATTAAAATGTTATTACAGTTACCTGTGCCTATGTATGTGGGTTGAAAGAACCAATTTGTATTTCTTTGTTCACACAATCAAAAACCACAATTGTATCCTTATACTTGGAACATAGGTACTCATTATCTTTCATATGAATCTGCGTTTTCTCTTTCTAAGTTTAACAATATGGTGGTAACAGTAGCTAAAAGCTTAATAAATTAATTGAGGGTAAAATAAACATTGAGTTTATTATTTTTAGTGACAATTTAGCCCAATTAGTTTAAAACGAATAAACTAGCGTCCGCCCGCAGCTTCGCCGCATAGTATGTCGATGAAAAATAGCCTACATCCTATTCCGGAGTGTGTCCTCTGCCTGTGATCTCTCCAACCGTTTTAGCGTAATTGAGTAACAAACATCCAAACATCGTAACTTTCGCATTTATAATATTAGTAAGAAGTAAGATAATAATTTTCTGAGTTTGTACGTATTGGTGGCCCGGAGTATGAGACGCCCTTTTCATGCATGGCTTTTGATGCATGGGTTCGAATCCTGACAAATATCAATGTGAGTTTTCCGAGTTATATGTACTTCCTAAGATTATTTAGAAACCGTAACCACTGACATACTGTGAAAGAAAAACTGGTGAGGAAATCTGACTTATAATTTTTCTAGTTATAAGTTTGAAATCGCCAATCCGCTTGAGCAAGCCCGACGATTATTGCTCAAACCTTCTCCGTGTGAGAAGAGACCTTAGCATACAAGTGGTCACTTAAAGGCTGATGATGATGAAATAATACGACATACACAATTTTCTTTTTAATTTTTCCACCTTATTAATGAGAAAAAAATATTCATATAAAAATTGTACAATGATAAAACAAAGAATGATTTATCACTTTATACTAAAATGGTCCAACGTCAATTTCTTTTTTGTTTGTAAGAGCTTACAAGAACTTTGATACCCGAAAAACTTTTAAACCCAAAGCAATGGTTTCTACATTACATAAAAAAGTTTTATCATGCATATTATAAGGGCTGTGGCATAAGTTTCCTTTACCAGGATGTTTCCAAAACTAAATAAAGAGGTTTTATACTAGGTTTGCTTGTATTTCTCAAGCTTTTTAAAATGTATGAATCAACAATAATGTTGAATGCTTAAATTCATAGTAAAAAATACAAGACAAATCAGTCGCTCTTCTTTATTTTATAATGGGCAGGCATTTGGCTGATATTATGTCTGGTGGTAAGCGACCTATGATGGAACAAGTCTCACTCGACCATGAAAATTCTTAGGTTATATCCTTCGAGGAACACAGACTCCAGCAAAGAATTCCACTCTCAACCGGTTCTGACTACAAAACTAGAGGCGAATCGCTTCGTGCGTGTGGATGATATATCCACAACCGAGGGATGTCTTTTTACCGATCTTCTGGTCGCATACTTATCTTCCAAACTTCACCATTATCTTATATATTTATGTACTTACTAGCTGTTGCCCGCGACTTCGTCCGCGCGGACGCCGTGAAGCACCAAAAATACTATGCCTGCGTCATTTTAAATGTATTTTTTAGTGAGCAACTTTTAAGATCACATTCCCTTGCAGTTGGCGCTGCAGTATAACTTCACCTCATGAGTACCTCTCATAGCGCAGGTGAATTTTGAATATGGTTTAATTCCTACATATTTAATAATCCTATAAAATTTCTCTATAAACTACATTTGTAGTTTTGCTCTCAGTAGCCAAAATGTATAGAGAGTCAGGACTGGTGACGCGGGAGCAAGTGACGTACAGTTGTCCGTGTGAGAAGCAGCTCGTCCTTAGGTCGACACCCGCAGCCTTCAGTGTCTGTCCCTGTGACTTATTGATAGTCATCGCGAAGCAAACACTCACAGGAAACTGCACGCGCAGTATTATATATATATATATTTATGAGGTATGAGGGGAATGCGTGGTATAAACACTGCCTCGCCGACGCTACAACCCGTCAAAATTTCCGCCTCGATAATTTTTCTATGCAGTGAGATGACTTTAAGGCGGGTCCCGTTACACAACTTCGGAGGAGACAGGTTCCGAAGAAGCATTATCGGGACGCCAATCTTCAGCTTGATGTTATGTGCTGGAAGTCCACTTGCTGTGAGGGAGTTGAGAAATTCCACCGGATAGTGTGTGGCGTCATCTTGCTCGACTACGGTGTTTATGGAGGTGTACACCACTTCATTCCCCTCAATTTCCGAGAGAATGCTTTCATTGATTGCTGCAGCTTGATCATTTTTAGGCATCAAAATGGCCCGCTCGCATGCCCAAGAATTCGGTTGGTGCGGTATTCGACTGATATCCCCGTACACGCAGCGAATGAGTTCATTTAAGGTGGATACCACTCTACCGAGAGATTCTGGGAGCACCACCTGTCCGCCCCTCTCCTCTGGTAGAGTACCGTCGCTGAGACTTAGAAGGACATCAGAGAATTCTTGAGCGCGTGCATTGCCGCCGAGCTGAGCTCTCATATTGATGGTCAAGCGCAGCGTATGAACGCGTGACCATAACGCAGATCGTTTCAACGAAGCATTCACCTCGTCAGCCCTAGATCCCCGCGTTACGGTTGGCATGAATCCTGCTTCAACGATTTGATTTGCACCAAACGAAGTCATCTGGAAGGCGCTATTATAAGCTCGGATTTTTTTCAAAAAATGGCTGGACTTTGGATGCTCGCCATTTAATAGGACTCTTAACAGGTCTGGCGGGTCCTGCATAGAATCTAAGCGGACCTTACCAGATGCACAACACATCCCATTTGGCTCCCCTTTCCATTTGCGTGCTTGGCAGTGAGCACACACTCCTTCTAAGGCACCAATATTGCCATAAGCGGCGTAGTTAATCGCAACATTGTACATAAATCCACTTCCCTCTTTGTTTAGCCATGGTTGCTCTTCGATATCGTAAACCGTGGATTCCTCATCAGATGTTGAAAGCTGATTTACATTACGACGCAGGCGATCTTGTTCTACTTGTGCCGCACGCTGTTCGTCCGACCAAGTTCCCCGAATCTCTTGAATTCTGTCCCGTTCTTGTGATAGATGAGTAGACGCATCTCCAAGCAGTTCGTGGTACCGCTGCCGAGCAGCTGCACGACGTTCTTCACGGTGCTCATCTGTCTCTAAAGAACGTGACTGGGCATGCTGAGAGCGGTCTCTTCTTAAGCGGGTCTCCCGTTCTTCATAATCTTCAATCGACCGAGAAAAAGAAGCGCGGCTCCGCTGCAAACATAAACTCGCCTCTCGTTGCGTGTACGTTTCGTCTGAAACGTACGTAACGTGCGCGAGAATCAGCGTGGCGCTCCCGATCACTTTCCAGTCGAATTTGTCGCGCTTGGACACTCTCGCAAGATCGAGCGGCATCAGTGCGACTGCGCTGCGAACTTAGTCTCGTCTCGCGCTGCGTATACGTCTCGGATGCGCGAGACTCGGCGTGGCGCTCCCGATCGCTTTCCAAACGCGCTTGTCGCCCTTCAACACTCTCACAAGATCGAGCGACATCAGTGCGGTTGCGCTGAGAACTCAGCCTCGTCTCTCGCTGCGTGAACGTCTCTGACGCGCGTGACTTAGCATGGCGCTCTCGGTCAATTGACAGCCGCATCTCACGTGCTTCTGCACTTTCCTGAGACCGCGACAATGCATTTTGAGTGCGCATGGTATCTAATCGCGACTGGCGTGCCGTACCTACTACATTCTCCTCTTCGAGTCTCTGCAATTTGTTCACGAACAGCAGTCAACCTGGCCTCACGCTCGTCAGCGGTTTCAAGGGATCGAGCTAACCTTCTTTTTCGCGAATGGTATGACGATTGTGATAGATTAGACCGCTTTCTGGGCATTTTTACTACTAAAAGACAAATTAACACGAAGTAAACAGAATAATTTAAGAATCTCGATAACTTATAACCAACGCAGGTAACCCCCGTTTCTATAGGTTGAAGCGGCGACATCGGTACTCATAACATCACTTTTTGTGAACGAAACCATAGCGCGATCTAATTCGACGCCAACACCATCTAGTTAGGAAAATGGAAACATTGTTATATGGTAAACAATAATAATTTCTCAATTACGACTGAATACGTTTTCAACGTGAAAAAAACGAAACCGCATATGAATAAAAAAAATGCTAGTTCTTCATCACACCTATGTTTATAATTATACACAAAAATATTGTATGAATTCCGAAGCAACAATTTTACCAATATAAGTCTATGTTTTATTTTATATTTCATTTTTTTTGTGTCTAGGTTTGTGATAGCACGTCCTGTCAAACAACCTGCTTACAAACGTAATTTAAATGTGTATGAGGTAACACTACATGCTCCTTCAGTAAGGTTTACAGATATAAAGGTTCATTACTCATCCCCCGTAGGTGATAGCGTGATAATATGTAGCCTATGTGATGAACCGACCTGTCAGTTATGTTCATGCAAAATTTCAATTTAATCCATGCAGTACTTTTGAGTTTATCCGTAACAAACATACAGACAAACAGACAAACAGACAAACAGACAAACAGACAAACAGACAAACAGACAAACAGACAAACAGACAAACAGACAAACAGACAAACAGACAAACAGACAAACAGACAAACAGACAAACAGACAAACAGACAAACAGACAAACAGACAAACAGACAAACAGACAAACAGACAAACAGACAAACAGACAAACAGACAAACAGACAAACAGACAAACAGACAAACAGACAAACAGACAAACAGACAAACAGACAAACAGACAAACAGACAAACAGACAAACAGACAAACAGACAAAAATTCTAAAAACCATATTTTTGGCTTCAGTATCGATTGTACATCAAGCCCCAAGTATTATTTCAAAAATATATTCATGTACAGTTTTGACTTTCCTACGATTTTATTATATGTATAGATTACAATATTTTTTATAGTAAAGATAGGCACACGGCCACAACGTTTACCTGATGTTAACCAGTCGGTGTGGCCCATCACTGGTGCAATCATTACATAGAAGAGTTTTAGCTGCGTTAGATTGGCTTGATCGTTAGCAGCCGTCAGCGATCAATTTCATGGTTAGGGCTTTGGAGATTGAAGCTAGACGGTAGGGGGTAGACTGCCAACAACGTCACTCACTCGACAAAAGACAACATAAGCGTTGTTTCACGGTACTTTCCTTCTCCATTTTTAACCGACTTCCAAAAAAGGAGGAGGTTCTCAATTCGACCGTATATTTTTTTTATGTTTGTTCGCCGATATCTCCGTTATTTATGAACCGATTTTGATAATTCTTTTTTTATTGGAAAGGAGATAGTCCCAGAATGGTCCCATGATAAGGAAATCAGGATCTGATGATGGAAGACCAGAGAAATCGAGGAGAACTTTCAAAAATTGTAGGGGCGAGTGGTGCTTTTGCATATGGTTTTAGTAGACTTTTGCCAAATTTACAACTTGCCGACGTTCGAACCCGACCTGATGATGGAGCCGGAAGACAGTCGAGGGATCTCCTTGACTATTTGGAGTAGTTGCCTTGTGTTTGGGCTTGAATGATTCGTATTGGTGAGTACTTTGCACCAAGATTGGTTGTGACTGTCATTAAGGGTCTGATGATGAGAACGATGGACAGCTCAGGGAACTCCTGAACGGTTTACAGTAACTACCTCGTGTTTGGACTTAATTCATTTATATCGATGAAAACTTTGCACCTCTATGGATTACAATGAAGTTATGAAGTAAATTGTGATGATGGAGCCGGGAGGCAGTCGAGGGATCTCCTTGATTATTTGGAGTAGTTGCCTTGTGTTTAGACTTGAATTATTCGTATTGGTGAGCACTTTGCACCAAGATTGGTCGTGACTGTCATTAAGGGTCTGATGTTGAGAACGATGGACAGCTCAGGGAACTCCTGGACGGTTTACAGTAACTACCTCGTGTTTGGACTTAATTCATTTATATTGATGAGAACTTTGCACCTATATGGATTATGTATAATGAAGGTCTGCAGTATACCTGATAATGGAGGTCATTGACATTCGCGGGAATTCCTCAACGATTTACGGCACTGAAAGCTGTCTAACTCAGGACTGCCATTACTGTGATTTTCAGTCTCAAGTAGCCGTCGTCTTCTCTTTTAAGAAGCATCCTAGCTTTATCTGCCTATCACTTAAAATGGTGAAATAAAATAATTTTTAACAAAAAAAAAAACCGACTTCAAAAGTAAACTAAAAAGCAAAAAATAAATTTACTTTGTTCAAAGTAATACACACTTTCATTTAGTTAAATAGAAAACAATATTTAATAACTATTTTATAATTTTGAAGTCGGTGCCAAGTAAATGCTATATACCAAACAACGACAGTATTAGAAAAATATATTGATCAGTACCTACTAATCATCAAATTAGCAAGAAGTATGTAAGTAATATCTTTACACGGTTACCTATAGTTTTACTTGGCACCGACTTTAAGATTATAAAATAGTTATTAAATATTGTTTTCTATTTAACTAATTGAAAGTGTGTATTACTTTGAACAAAGTAAATTTATTTTTTGCTTTTTAGTTTACTTTTGAAGTCGGTTTTTTTTTTGTTAAAAATTATTTTACTAAGTCAAGCTCGCC